GTAGCCCTATAATATTTCAATAGTAATACTCTGTATCTAGATCTTTGTAGTATTCCTATATTATTTTGAATAGTATAACTATAGTATAATATATAGTGTTTATGTAGTTGTTTTAAACACACTATAGAACACTCCTAATAGCATAATATTGTCATAGTGAATGCATATTATTACTATAGTGTTTGTAAAAGTATTACTATAGTGTTTTTGTTGGTGTTTCCGTATTAAGACTATATTATTTTAAATAGTACTACTATAGTATAATATATAGTAATAGTATGATGTTGTCATAATGAATGCATATTATTACTATAGTGTTTGTAAAAGTATTGCACTCCTAGAATTAATGTCATTTATTTATATCAAATGAATTGAGATATATATATAGCCTATATATATATATTAGCTGATAGTTTTTTATGGACAACTTTACCATTCAATCTCGTCCAACTGATCTTGCAGCTGTCACTCCTCGGCTCTTGGTAGTTCAGGCATTTATCAAACCTGGCAACTCCGGGCTTCATGGCAGCTGTCAATCAAAGTCCAGTGGCTCCGCCCCAAGGTGTCAGAAACTTTTCACGCGCGCGTAGACAGACTCCGCGAGCGAGTGAGGCTGACACTCCCGCGAGGGAGCAAGAGGGCTGTCTCTCTCACGAGCGAGCGCATAGCCGCCCGCGGGGGTTTAATCTGCGCGCGAGAGTCATTTTATGCGCGTGTAAAAGCACATTTTCCGCTCGTGAGTAGCTTGTTTTACGTGCTAGAATATTGACCCAAATCTGACTCCATGGAGATGCTATGTGTTCCCCTAAGTGTTCTGTGCTGCTTAGCCCCGATATATTTGATTCCCTGTCTTATGTAATATAATTTGTGGAACCAAATAAAGGTATTCAAATGTGTGTGGGTGGTTCTATAAAATCCACGAGAAGAATTGATGGATAGTTGGTGTTATGTTGCACATTTTCCACACACACCACAACACACAAACACACCACACACACACACACCACACAACACACACACACACCAGAACACACGACACACAACACACACACACACACACACACACACACACACACACACACACACACACACACACACACACACACACACACACACACACACACACACACACACACACACACACACACACACACACACACACACACACACACACACACACACACACACACACACACACACACACAGTGTACATGCACACAAAATCATCTTCCATCCATTTCATCTCCAGCATGCTTTGACTCTCCACAGCCATATTATTATTCTTTCTCTCTCTTTTTTTTCTAATTCGCTTCCGTAGAATGACAGAAATACAAGATTTGGGTCGTATTATGTGAATATGTTGTGAATATAACGGTGGAGGCCATTTGTCTCTGAACCTCTTCAGTCCTTTCTCTTTCTCTGCTTGCTTTTATTCTTCTTTCACTTAGATTGTGTTTTTCTGGCATCAAAACAAGTGATACTGATGGAGGCTAGTAGCAAAGAAGTCATTTTACAAACTTGAGGCTAATATCAAAGAAAATAAATCAATATTCTTTAGCAATGAGTCCATAGAAAAGCTTCTCTTTTTGTTTTTCCTTCTCATACCTCTATACCCACCTCAGTTTTCTTCTTCACCCCCCCCCCCTTTTTCCAAACTGGACTAACATTTTTTAATTTCAACAAGTCTTCCGAACTCGAGGGAAAACGAGTCATTTGTCATTTTCCTCCAAACAAAAAGCCCCATCGACATTATATATCAATGTCTTCCAAACCAGAAGCACACGTGATTAGTTTTACACTGGTTCAGGTTTTCCCAGGTTTAAGCAAAGGAGTTAATTAAGGTGAGGGAAAGATCATGGTTTGGGTTTAAACAAGACAAAGGTTCTGTGAGGCTTTCATTGGCCCAGTGGAGCTTACAATGCTAACGTTACAATGAAACCAGCAAGCTGATATAGATTGCTTTATTGTTTATCTTGTAAACCATGTACATAATGTGCCAAATACTTTTGGATTATTGTCAATAATATAAAACAGTACAGCTGAAGCTAATCCGTCATTATTAGTTATATGATATTTTTGAGTTGATGATAGCCAAACCGGAAAAACTGTTTTCACCAAAGGAGATCAAAGTTATTAAAATCATTCATCTGGAGACCATGAATATCAAGTTATATCATAAATAAGGAATAAATCAAGAGAAAATGTAAATATTGCCATCACTGCTACCCGCTAGAATGGCTTAGAAATACATGGAAAAAAGTTCTAATGGATTTTGGACCAGTTGAAGGCAATGCAACAAGAGTCAACCCATCATTGACAGATGATATGCAACAATGTTTTTATTTTCTTTACTGAAAAAGCTCGATTTTCCTGACACTTGGTTTGAAGGGGACCATGGGCCTAATGTGAACTATGGCCTATACGAAGTGAATCACATGCTTTGTTGGGTTCCTACCTGTCTCTATAAGTGGTTAAGTTCCCCTGCCTTTGCTTCTGCGAGTCATCATTCAAATGAACCAGGGTCTTCCATGAGGATTTTGTTTTGGACAATTTCACAAGCAACCAATACTTTTGCTTTTCTGGTAACGACCGCAACAAATGTATTCTGTTTCTTTTTCTCTTATCTTATATTTTGCCTTTTGTACTACTGTCTTACAACCTCTTCTTATATATCTTTCTTTCCTTTTCTCACTCTCACTGCACTCTTTCCCTTGCTCTCACACTCACCTTTTTTGTCTCTTCAGATGTTTTTTTAATTTGTTTCCCTCTTTTAATATTGCTTCTCTTTACTGATTTTTCTCCTATTTCGCCTTCCCCCCTCTATTTCCAAGTCTATAGTTTTGTGTACAACTTTGGGAAAGAATCTAATAAATGTATGTGTGTGTGTGTGTGTGTGTGTGTGTGTGTGTGTGTGTGTGTGTGTTTCAAATGTGTCTAAAGAATTTTCATTGGGTAATCAATGTTTATTTAGGCTGCATGCATGATAATTAGAATACAGATGTTGTGTGATGATGCTGTAAACCTGTCAATGGAAGAAGACGGAAATAGAATCATGGGGGAAAGCATGAAAAGAAAGAAAAAAAGAAAGAAGCAAACCATTTACTTGTTTCAGAAAGCCCAAACTTCAGATTTAGCCAAACAGAAAAAAGCCCATTGCTCGAGTCAGTGGCTTCCAACAACTCTATCCGCTTTTGGTAGCTTATGGCAGACACTAAATATAAACTCAACCGACATGCACATATGCACACGGTTTATTCCAAACCTGCTGTGAGATTTTCTTTAGTTCAATTTTCCAACAGTACTCTGGAATTAACAAAAAAATGAACCTGTACGTACACTAAAAGAAAAGCCAATAAATAAGCGTTTCCCTTTCTTTGAGGGGGGTTAATATACAGTAGGTTGTTGTGCATGTAAATAGACTCCGAAGGCTAAAATCACAAAGTTCCCTCCAAAGGGACTTTCTCTCCCACACACACTCCCCCTGCCTGAAACGCCTCCATTGGACTCCTTTGTTTACTTCAGTAACATAATTATATCCCTATGTAACACTCAAGCTCCTTTTGGCTAGGGCTCCTACACATTGTACGTGATAGGCTGAGGGGTGGGACATCTATGAACTGACCAATCACAACAGAGCCGTCCAGCTAACCAATCAGAGTGAGCTGGGCTCTGGTTTCAGACAGAGGGTAAAAAGAGGTAGTATGAGAAAAATATAGAGCTTTTTGAACATTAAAGCATGTAAATACTTCTATAGAGGCACAAAATATATGACCCTGAAATTAGATAAATGGGGCCCCTCTAAAGGCTGAGTATATGATTGAGTAGGGCTAGGTATCAGTACATTAAAAAAATATTGGTAACTTTTTTTAATGTAATGTTACGTCACCTTGATTAGCCCACTGCTTCAGCTGATAAAACGCATACAGTCTGTGAAGTTAAGTTTTGTGTGTGTTTTAAATAAAACAAATTTTTACTTCAACACTTGTATTCGTATATTTGTAGAAATATGTTAATGGTAGGGAGAGGTGGTGGCCTGTTATTCAACTGTATTCCCATAATGGGTTACAATGAGTTAGAAAAAAAGAAAGGCAAATTAAATACTCTGTTGGTATTCTTTCAAAAAGGTACTATTTCCTTAACACTGGTATTATCATTTCTATACGGTACAAAGCTACAAACATATGACCCACAGAGGGTAACTGTTGCACTGCAGGGATGGCAGTCACATGGCCCGTGTGACTCCATCTGCTCCCAACACTCATTTTGCAGGACATGCTTCAATTAGCCATTAACCCTAACCCTAGCCATAAACAGAACACCTAGATTTGACACATGATGTCCTGCAAAGGTCTTCTCCATCTAAGAACTAGAGGAGCACTTCCCTCAGAGAGCCGGTCCATCGTGTGCAGCTGAGACTTAACTCGAGGCTTCCACACCTTTCCTGCCTGCTAAATGTCAGCCGGGCAAATGAAAGGGGATGAAAGGGTTTGTGAGGGCTCTGTGGAAGCGCTCAGGTTAGCTAGAATCTGTGTTTCCTTTTTACCGACACACCTTGTGCTTTTCTGACGGATCTTTGTAGGATCTTGCCATTTTTTTTGGCTAGTTTAACTTTATGTTATACAGAAAAAGTGCATGCAATAAAACCCAATAAATAGCTTGGTAACAACCCACCATGTTAATGTCACACAGTGCTATTTTTACAAGGTATGTTTCTGCAGATGTGAATGACAGGAGTCAGACAGCCAATGCCATTCATTTTGCAAAAGTTATCGATCAGTTACGTCCATTTTCAGTGTTGTAGTGTGCTAAGTGGGTGAACTTTCCCAAATCATTTGGACAATAATAGCGTATGCACTGTGCCTGCATTTGTCTGAGGGTGTTTCTTTATGTGTGTCACAAAGCTGAGTCTGTCTAAGTTCCAAGTCCATAGTTCTGTGTGCAACTTTGGGAATATGTGAAAGAATCTAATAAATGTTGGTGTGTGTGTGTGTGTGTTGTACCCTCTTCTCCAGTTGTGCCATCTGCTCCTTGTAGAAAGCATCCAACGCTTTCAGCTGAGCATCTTTCTTCTGTAGCTGCTGAGCCTGAAAAATAAACACACACACACACACACACACACAGACGGGATTAAACTATCTGTAATACTACGTATTCTCCCTATAAGGTAGAATACCAGTCAAGTGTGCATAAGAAGTAATGAACTTTTTTTTCTCAAATCTTAGTAATTACATTCACTTAGTAATAGTAACATGATACAACAGTGTGGGATACATACTGTGGGTCTGAGGAGGGCAACACAAAGTGTGTGTGAGTAGGAGGGAGGGAGGGGCCTCTGATTCTAACATTTGTTTACCTTTTGGTATTCACAATTTAAAGTTTTCTTTACACAATATTGTTTATAGCACTAAAACGGGATTCTCCAAGATCATGTAATAGGTCACACACACACACACACACACACACACACACACACACAAAACAACTACAGATTGGGTTGGAGGATTTGTACACTGTGGAGCAAGCATGTGGAACAACAAAGTTTCTTGAAAAAAAAATACGGTTGCCTTTTATTGATAATAATGTCCTTTATGTATGTTTTTATATACGACACTGGATCCATAGACAAATAGAGACAAACAGTAAGGAAAGATGCATGCAGGACACATAGAAATAGAAGAAAGAATAAGAAGGAATGATGGATGGATAAGGAAAGGTAAACATATATGTATCATTTCAATGGACTGACAGAAGGGATAATAAAACCAGATGCCACCTTGAAGATAGGGAGATGTGGAAAGAAATGAATAGAAAAGTATCAATACATCTTTATACCAAGAACTGAAAGGCTCATTGACAATCATCAGCAAAGACATTTTGCAAATGGCCAAGTGGGAAAGTAAGACACTGTGATGGTTAGAAAGCAGCAGGATGGAAAGATGGATGGTATGGATAAAAAAGCAGGAGGTTAAAGCGAGCTTACCATCATATCTATCTCATCTGGAGACTTGAAGTTGGGAAATAGAAAGGGAAAGAGAAAGGGTAGAAAAGGTAAACACACAAGCAGGTTAAGAAAAGAAAGCCCACAGAGGGGGAAGAGAGAAGCACAAATGGTAAGAAACACAGAGCAGCTTGGCGTAGGCCTGTTAAATGGTTATTATTTAAATTGCAGTAAAAAAACAAAACGTATATTAATAATTGAATCATGAAATGTAGCATTTAAGTGTTTCTCAGTTACTGTTGTTGTTTTAATAAATCAGACACTGATGGTGTTGCGCTGTACTGTACCTCTTTATATAGGCGTTTTCCTTAACAAATTGTTTTTGCGCTGATCAGGGGGTACTTGGCTGAATTTTTTTTTCAAAGGGGGTACATTATTGAATAAAGTTTGAGAACCACTGCTTTAGAACATGTATGTAGTATTACTTATTGAACTCCCCTGTTTTTGCTGAACCAAGCAATAACAAGTGGGGATACATTTGTAAAGTAAAGATTAATTTAACTGACCATGGTGCAGTTTAACCTACTACAGTAGCTATTTGCACTCATTGTTAAAGTTTCAGAATGCATTATCTCTTGGAGATACTCACAAGTATAGATATAGATTGTTTTGTGGATGTTTGGGAAGCATGCGTGGATTCTGGGTAGAATATGTATGTGTAATGTACAAACTGAAGAACGTTCTTTGTGCGGTGTGTGTGTGTGTGTGTGTGTGTGTGTGTGTGTTTCAGCAGCATGGGGTAGATGCTAGCTTAGCTTCCAAATGACGCAAACTGGGTGCGTGTGTCACATCGGGAAAGTCAACATGTAGAACGTTTTAATAAGTATTTCTGAGACTGACAGCCTGTCAGACACTATCTCAAGTTCTGAACCACACTAATGTGCTAACTCTAACACATCTGGTACACCCAGCAAATTAATGCCAGTCAATATTTAAAAGGCAAATTCAAAAGGCACTATTGTCCCAGACTAACGGCACTGTGGCACTGAACACAGCATCAGCACAGAAAAGTGAAGAGAGTCTACGTGCACACGCGAATGGAGGGAAGATTCATCATAATTATCAGGGCTGCTGAATCAAATCAAATCAGAGCTGATCGTCTGTGTTTCATAAACAGACCTTAACTGGGGAGAGACAAAGAGCGGGGGGCTACTGATTTGAGAAATACTTTCACTGTCGGGTGTGAGCTGCAGCTTGCGCTTGGTAAAAGGTAGAATACGAAACGTTTCGCGTGAGAATAAATAAACGGCTACACCTATGACATAGATTTTGGGTTGTGTACTTACTGTACATCGCCCTAAATGTTGCAACAAGATTAAAACCGTGAAAAATCTGTAATTTTGTATAATATAACAGTGCGTTTTATTTGGTCGCCTGCCAATGGCGTTATATCTCAATATTAAGGAAGTCTGCTACCCACTATATACTGCAGTTGACTATAGTTTGTATTGCAATCTTGTGACGGATCACAACTGTCATTGCGTTTGCAGCACGTTTCAAGGATGTCCCAACAAAGCGCACATGTTTATATCTTACGTTTTTTACAGCTAATTCATTAGGGTTACGTTTTCAAAAACCTCGTCGATAAACATATTTTCTGAGTCACGTCATCAATGGTGGCTGTTCAACATTGAGGGCAGCAACTCCCATGATCCCAGGCTAATTCTATTCACATTATCAAAGTCTAACTATTGTTATGTTCGATTGAAAGCCCCCTTGTTGCAGAAATGACATACTGTGTTGAATCAGTTAGAAAAAGGGACTGAAATTGTGTTATACATGTGTTAATTGTATATGTAAGACAAGAATCTGTTCGGTAAGGATTAGGCAGAAACTGAATGTATTTAATTAAAGAAACACTCAGTTTGCCTTCCTATCAGTGTCTATGTTGGTCCTGTTTTAATTTGCAGTCGGAGAAGAAACTGCAAGGGAATCACATGACTCCTCTGGTGTCCCCCCAGGGACCTGCGAGTCTCTGGTAGATAACAGCCAGCCAGGCGTGACTTTACACACAACACAGCACACACACAAAAGGATTGCTTAGGCTTATACACTCACCTTTCTGGTGGGATACCTTGGTCCTTAATTTATTCACTCTAACATATCTGTTCTCATGTGTATCATTGAGTCCATCTGTAATTTGGTTTTCTATTAGCAGTAGCCTATTTTATTTTTATTAAACTGAAGACTACTGGAGCAGAGGGCTGTAATTCAGCAAAAATATTTGGCTCAACTTGTATGCAACTAAACAAACTAACTGGATTAGATTTGTTTGATCCAAGGGTCAGTCTACCTATTCAGGCCTGACTGATAACTCAACAACCATTGGATGATTACCATGGGATTTTAGACAGAAGTCAATAGTCCTTACAGGATTAAGCCTAGTCATTTTCGTTACCCTCTATTGCCACTGGTAGATTAATTTTCCAGCTTTTAGCTTATTTGTAAAATATATTTAGATGGATTGCCATTACATTTGGTACAGACAATCAAGTTTGCCTTTAGGATGAATTGTACTCACTTTTGTAATACCTGAGATCTTTCCTCAAGCATCAGCTTCTTGGCCACTACTTTGGTTTAGGACCAAAACTAAATGCTAAAGTAAGATGACTAAAATGGTTTGTGGTCAGTATCAGCATGTTAGCGTTGCCAAGTAATGCTTCCGTATAGTATTTTTCAAATTGTCTTGTTTGCTTAAGGTAAGGTACGTTTATTTATATAGCACATTTCAGACGCAGAGGTAATTCAAAGTGCTTTATTTTATTTATTTTGATATACTTTATTAATCCCTGTGGGGAAATTGTTTTTCTGCATTTGACCCATCCTAGTGTTAGGAGCAGTGTGCTGCCATTTTGAACGGCGCCCGGGGAGCAGTGTAGGGAACGGTGCCTTGCTCAGGGACACTGAGTAGCACTTGGTCTTGCCGGGACTTGAACTGGTGACCTTCCAGTTGCCAAGCCAAGTCCCTATCGACTTCGCCACCACCGCCCAATGATCATTATCACTTAATAGTAAGACAACAGAAAGAAACACAATAAATAAACATAATGGAATAACAGATTATGTATAAATGAGATACAAAATAGTTTAAAAACGACATTGTAAATACGGTAGGTGCTAAAACAAGTTAAAAGGCTTCTGGGTAAGCAGCTGTAAAAAGTAGTGTTTTTAGCCTCGACTTAAAAGAACTTCTCTGAGGTCTTCAGCGTTGGTGAAGACCTCAGGTTTTCTGGAAGTTTATTCCATTTGTGGGGAGCATAAAAACTAAAAGCAGCTTTGGCGTGTTTGGTTCGGAGCTGGGGAACAATGAGTAAGCCCGCCCCCGATGATCTCAGAGCTCTGTGTGGCTCGTAACAGGGCAGCATGTCGGACATATATTGGGGTCCTAAACCATTTAATGCTTTATAAATTAGCAATATAATTTTTGAAATTGATTCTGTAAGCTTCTGGTAGCCAGTGCAGAGATCTGAGTACTGGGGAAGTGTGTTCTACTATTTTTGTTTTGGTCAGGACTCTGGCAGCGGCGTTCTGGATTAGTTGTAGTTTTTTAACCGATTTCTTACAGAGACCTGGAAATACACTATTACAGTAATCAAGCCTGCTAAAAACAAATATGTGAACTAGTTTTTCAAGGTCTTGTTAGGGGTGTAACGGTTCACAGAATTCACGGTTCGGTACGTACCTCGGTTTGTGGGTCACGGTTCGGTACGGGTTCGGTACAACAAGAAAAAGCAAAAAAAAAGTCCCAGATGCATAATTCCAGGTTTCAACAGTAGTGCAAGTTTCAGTTTAAAAATAAGGAACTCTAACATTTTGAATAATTAACTGTATTACACAGTGAAAAACAAACCACAAACAGTACCACACACACTCAGATGGCCATATTATCTATAATGGCTGATGTCAAACAGAAAGGTTTCATCAAGCTGTAAAACTAAAAAGAATGTCTTGAAGATATTACAAAAAAAATAATAAGAAAGTGTTTCAAGGGTGCATAGCCGTTGAAATATATACAGTGGGGCAAAAAAGTATTTAGTCAGCACCAATTGTGCAAGTTCTCCCACTTAAAAAGATGAGAGGCCTGTAATTTTCATCCTAGGTATACTTCAACTATGAGAGACAGAATGAGAGGAAAAAAAATCCAGAAAATCACAAGAATTTATTTGCAAATTATGGTGGAAAATTTGGTCAATAACAAAAGTTAATCTCAATAATTTGTTATATAACCTTTGTTGGCAATGACAGAGGTCAAACGTTTTCTGTAAGTCTTCACAAGGTTTTCACACACTGTTGCTGGTATTTTGGCCAATTCCTCCATGCAGATCTCCTCTAGAGCAGTGATGTTTTGGGGCTGTCACTGGGCAACACGGACTTTCAACTCCCTCCAAAGATTTTCTATGGGGTTGAGATCTGGAGACTGGCTAGGCCACTCCAGGACCTTGAAATGCTTCTTACAAAGCCACTCCTTCGTTGCCCGGGCGGTGTGTTTGGGATCATTGTCATGCTGAAAGACCCAGCCACGTTTCATCTTCAATGCCCTTGCTGATGGAAGGAGGTTGTCACTCAAAATCTCTCGATACATGGCCCCATTCATTCTTTCCTTTACACGGATCAGTCGTCCTGGTCCCTTTGCAGAAAAACAGCCCCAAAGCATGATGTTTCCACCCCCATGTTTCACAGTAGGTATGGTGTTCTTTGGATGCAACTCAGCATTCTTTCTCCTCCAAACACGTCTAGTTGAGTTTTTACCAAAAAGTTCTATTTTGGTTTCATCTGACCATATGACATTCTCCCAATCCTCTTCTGGATCATCTAAATGCTCTCTAGCAAACTTCAGACGGGCCTGGACATGTACTGGCTTAAGCAGGGGGACACGTCTGGCACTGCAGGATTTGAGTCTCTGGCGGCGTAGTGTGTTACTGATGGTAGCCTTTGTTACTTTGGTCCCAGCTCTCTGCAGGTCATTGACTAGGTCCCCCCGTGTGGTTCTGGGATTTTTGCTCACC